AATTTGTGACGCATACATGATGGACAGACACAATCCTGCTGTTAAAGACCTACATACTTAACACACTTGACATGTGTAAGTGTGTGTATTTGAGAAACAATCTTCAGAAGTGTGGTGTAGAGAAAGTGTGTGCGGGTGAAGGACAGATAAGAGGAGAGACCACCATGTTCACACACACACACACACACACACACACACACACACACACCCCATGTTGAGACATTTTCTTACACTTCAACACACAAGCACACTACAGCAACAGTGTTTATATAAACCATTATATACAAGGTTAGGAATAATAATTTTTATACAAGCTGTCAATTAACTAATCTCACTTTTAACGAAGTGCACTTAAGATGTAAAGTGTGGCCAGTATGAAAGCGAATATTGTTTATTGATTTTTTTTCTTAATTCTCATTCTTATTCTTTCCCCCCTTCTTCAGTTCATCTTTTATCCCAGAATATAATTTTATTCAACTATAGTTGAATAATTGACATGTTGGTGGAAAGGCCACGAAGGTCAAAGACTACAAAGACTCTTTTCAATCTCTTCTTTTCTCCCCTTTCTCTTTTAAAAATAAAATCAGGTGCAATGTTGAGGTCTTATGTGAGCTAGAGATGACAACTCCATTGGATGTTCGGGGTTTTGACCTTGCCAGAATCCTTTTGTTGAACCGCACAAAATCTCTTTTTGTCATTTAAGCTGTTGTTAAATTTTTCTGGGACAATATTTTGATGGACAGATCGTAGATAAAAATCACACACACACACCCCATGTTGAGACATTTTCTTACACTTCAACACACAAGCACACTACAGCAACAGTGTTTATATAAACCATTATATACAAGGTTAGGAATAATAATTTTTATACAAGCTGTCAATTAACTAATCTCACTTTTAACGAAGTGCACTTAAGATGTAAAGTGTGGCCAGTATGAAAGCGAATATTGTTTATTGATTTTTTTTCTTAATTCTCATTCTTATTCTTTCCCCCCTTCTTCAGTTCATCTTTTATCCCAGAATATAATTTTATTCAACTATAGTTGAATAATTGACATGTTGGTGGAAAGGCCACGAAGGTCAAAGACTACAAAGACTCTTTTCAATCTCTTCTTTTCTCCCCTTTCTCTTTTAAAAATAAAATCAGGTGCAATGTTGAGGTCTTATGTGAACTAGAGATGACAACTCCATTGGATATTCGGGGTTTTGACCTTGCCAGAATCCTTTTGTTGAACCGCACAAAATCTCGTTTTGTCATATAAATATTTAATACTTTTTTGCTATTCTTTAATTAATTTATTGACTATTTATTTAGAATTTATTATTATTTCGTTTAAACAGCACCTTCAGCGGTGTTAGTACAGCGGTGATTTTTATTTATGCTGGGTTATTGTTTCCATGTTTTGGGAGGGGAATATATTTTGGCTGACAAAAGGAAGTCAAGAACAGGGAAACAAAGCTTAAATTTTTCTGGGACAATATTTTGATGGACAGATCGTAGATAAAAATATCTATCTGAGACAGACATTCATCATGTCAGTGAATATGAACCATGTGTTGTACAATAAGGAAAGTACAATAATAACTATTCTTTCAAGCTTTTTGTTAATATTTTCTTAGATTTAGTCTTTAGGTGCAGTTGGTGGTGTGTCTTACATTTATATTTTTTATGTGATATAAATAATAAATGTGATATAAATAATAAATGGCTAATATGATAATATTGATCATTTTATATTAAGATATCTATCTATCTATCTATCTATATATCTGTCTATCTATCTATCTATCTATCTATATATCATCTATCTATTTTTGTGTGATGATAAATGGCTATGATAATATTTATAGTTTTATATTATGAGATAGATAGATAGATAGATAGATAGATAGATATTCTATACCACTAAACACTATAGTAAATTAAATTATGACAAAGCAAAGCATTTTTTGGTTCTATGATATCAAATATTTGGGTGTGGCTAATATTTATATATTAAATAATAATAATAATAATAATAATGTGCAAAACACAATAATGTAGAATTATAATGATTTTATCATATAGCATATAAAATATAAATATTATACTAATATATATTCAGCGGTGTTAGTACAGCGGTGATTTTTATTTATGCTGGGTTATTGTTTCCATGTTTTGGGAGGGGAATATATTTTGGCTGACAAAAGGAAGTCAAGAACAGGGAAACAAAGCTTAAGAATTTCAGGCCTAGTTGAAACAATTAGCCTTGCTGTCAGATTCATATGATTATTTCTATCAAACGCCGACATATGACCTATGTGTTAGTTCGGATATTGTTCTGGCACTCACCCTCTGATCTGTGCTACTCAAATGTTTTCCAGAAGTGTATTAATTAATATGCTAATGAGACATTTAAGCGTGCCCGTCAGCTATTGTATTTATTGTGAGCAAACACATGTTCCACGTGCCTTTGATAGAGACTGAGAGCGCGAGGGAGCGCACGCGCTCACGAGAGGTCTCCAGCACCTCCGCACGTTGTCTTTCACCTTCTTTATTGATAAAGTAGCACAATGACTGATGGGAAATGCGCCATATGGAGACACTCTTGTGCACGAGTCACAGAATGACAGATTCTTTTGTGCGTGTGAGCGTGTGTGTGCGACTAGAAATCCAATACCGATTGCTTCATTAAAAGAAATTAAAAAGTCAATAATTGATGCTGTTAATGGCTGCGCAGGACGATTTGATGCAGTGTGAAAACATGCAAATATACGGCTGTGTGTGTGTTTGTGTGTGTTTATAGGCTACGTCATTCAAGGGACACTTTGACTGTGTCATATTAAAATGCAACTTTCTCTTTTGATAATTACTAAATATGATAAATGTTAAATAACGGCAATTCTGAGCTTTGATTTTTCTGACACCATCACTAATCAATTTCATTTTATATTAAACAAAATCCTCTTCCACAGATTAAATCGAAATATTTCACTTGTGAATCCGTTTATGAAAAGGTACATTCTTGCTCACAATAATTCAGTGATACTTTACAGTCTTTGAAATGGGTGTCTATATTTCGGCTAGTTTTCTTATTTTTTGTTTACATGTTATTCTTGTAATTATCTTCTACAGCTCGAAGAAAAGGAAACACTTACCGAGATTTATTAGTCGAGTATGTTTGTGATGAAGATGATGGTGTTGGAAGACAATCGTGCAGTTGTTGGACCAATCAGATCTCAGTGGGAGAAAAAGTACCTACGTAAAATAGGCCTAGTAGTTAATTTTTTTATTTAGTCTATAAATGAATTAAATTAAGGTTACATTAAGATGTGAAAGTGGTATTTGTGCAAATATTGTTAATTTGTATTCCTCACTCAGAAAAAAAAGGTACAAAAGCTGTCACTGCAGTAGGCCTACATTTTTAAAAGGTACACTTTTGTACCTTTTTCAAGTGCATATTAGTAGTCTACAATTAAAAGGACATATTTGTAGGCCTACCTAAAGTTTAAATATTAGTACCTAAATGGTACATAATTAGCAACTTTAGAAAAGGTACCGGCACAGTGACCGCTTTTGTACCTTTTTTCTTAAAATAAAAATCAGCTATATGCATATTAACAAAAATAAAAATAGGTCGGTCGATTTGAAAACAAAGCTGTATATATTTTTAATCATAAAATGAGTTTATTCGAAGCAATCGTTTGGAAACTGTTGTCTCCTCCCCATCCTCAGTACCTGTTGCAGATAGGCGCTTCTTCCTGTCGCTCATTGACTGTTTTGTATGTGTGTGTGTGTGTGTGTGTGTGTGTGTGTGTGTGTGTGTGTGTGTGTGTGTGTGTGAGAATATGAGGGCATGTCTACTGTGTGAACGCACGAGGCCAAACACTAAAGAGCTGCTGCCCTCGCGCTGTCCTCGCTCACATCACGCGGGTTTTACCGGGGAAACACTCACGCACTGAACCGGCAGGATCGCGTAGTGTCGCGGCTCTGGTGATTAAATTCCTCGCGCAGAGATCAGCAGCACTGAAGCACCGCAGAGGAGCAGAGAGTCACTGACAGGTAACGGTTGCCTTTCACGTCAACATCACATCCTTTCGTTTCAGTCATTTGGACCTATTTGCATTTCAACCATAGAATGATTATTCTATTAATAAACTTTAATAATTTTATACCACATAATCAGGTTCATGACAAATAGCTGCGATATACTGATAGGCCTTTTTAACAAAATAATACAAATAGGCACATGGTAGTATTAGTTCTTAAATGACAACGCTGTAATATTTTCTCGCTTACTTGATGTAAGGTGATTTTATAAACATTTATTGTGAAAAAATGTATTGTTAAAACTCACAAAAAATGCAATTCTAAAATGTCAACGATGCCAATGTTTTTTTTTTTTAAATCTTTAAATGCACTTAGATTTGTCAATGGCAGGAATGTAAATAGCCTGCTTACTCACTGAAAAAAAATGGTGTAGAAAATTTTTACTCAGAAATTGCTAGTTAATTTCACAAATAAATAAAAAACGGCAAGTAATAACGCTGAATTTAACGCGAAATTTTGAAGCAGAAATACTAGTAGTCTATAGTCAGTATTTTCTTGTAAAACACTTGTATTTACAGCTTCTAAAAATAATGTTTACAGTGTATATCGGTGAATATATTGAATGTGATCATTTAAAGGCCTTATTATAGAATTCGTTTTCATATCATATTAAAATAAAGGTTGCGTCTATAGCGTCAGCAAGGGTTTTAGGCTACTATTTGGTGGATCAATATATATATATAGCCTATATATATTTTTTCATTCTTTCTCTTTTTATTTTTATTATTATTATTTCTAGAAAACCTTCAATGTTATAGTGCGTTTCAAACAACCCAGAAAATCATATGTAATAGCAAGAAGCATAAACAGCGTTTTCGATCAGAAGATTGTTTGCTGAAGCACTGAAGAAGCGCTGTTTTCGAGGTGTGTGTTCATATGTTTGTGCGCAGGCGCTCGGCGGGGCGGAATGGACTACAGTTATGATACGGACCTGGAAGAGTTGTGTCCGGTGTGTGGGGATAAAGTTTCTGGCTATCATTATGGTTTATTAACCTGCGAGAGCTGCAAGGTATTAAATCAGAAGGTTTAAATATAGCCTCCTGTCAAATGTTTTCAGTAACCTCAAATCTGTCTGATGTGATGACATTAATCTAAATGAACAGGTTTTAAGTATAAGAAGAATTTTTTCTTAATCTAAATGTTTAATATGTTTATCCTGAATAATGTAATAAGCCTATGACTGAATCAGCCTGGCTACCTTAGCAAAGTAGGCTGTTTTTAAGGGTCAGATCAAGTAGAAACAGCTATTTTAGCTGACAAATGCACATCACATAAAGGGTTAGACATTTTTGTCGATATATTAGATATTAAATAAATAATATTTCGATGTTGCAGTCACTTCGAACAAATCACGTAGCCTGTTTATTCATTTTAAAGTCACTTTGGCAATTTATCTATAGATAAATTATGCTGTAGAATTGATCATTTTAAGTATTTCTTTTCTTTTCTTCTTTCTTGTCGAGTGGTAACATTATTGTCTCCCTTCATTTTAAAGGGTTTCTTTAAGAGGACCGTACAGAATAACAAACGGTACACATGTGCTGAGAGTCAGGACTGTAATATCGATAAAACCCAGAGGAAACGCTGTCCGTTCTGCCGCTTCCAGAAATGTCTGAACGTCGGGATGCGGCTGGAAGGTGAGCGAAATATGCTTCATCTCATATTTAATCTCAAATTCAGTTCGGTATAGACAACTGCATAAATCTGAAATTCATAAAGGATACTTGGAGATCAAATAATAATAAATTATTTAAATGATTAGGCTACAATTGAAAATATTTTATTGTAAACATCACATTTTTTATTTTTTAGATCTGTTTGTTTTTATTATATTGATTAATTCCTCGTACATTTTTTGTTATCTTATCATTTATTATTAAAATCTGTATGTATATGGATAAAGGCAATCTTGTGACAGGATCTGTGTATTTCCTAATGGAAAAATTGGCTAAAAAACGATTAAATCATATTCCGTTAGGCAGGCCTATTAAAAAAAAAAAAACGAATAAGAATTAAAATTGCATTGCAGCCAGTTGATTCGTTTCACATGTAGATGTAGAATTAGAGAAAAAAGACGAGAAAAAATAAACAGTGAAGAAAAAAAAAATCGCCGTTCTTGTTGCAAGGTCGCTATTATCTGCAGGCACCTTTGCCTTACCGGCTGCGCGCGCTTTGCTTCTGGATCAAGGTTAAGTATTCATTTAAGCACAGCTCTATTTTTAATCAGTCAGGCTATAGAGGTATTTTTAACTAGTTCGTGAGTTAATAGAAGGACGAATTTTAGAGAAACGGACAAGAAGCAACATGTAACTGCTTGCAGAACACGATTCTTTTCTTCTAAAAAATAAACATTCCAATTAGAACCAAACACGGTTCTGCTACATACATGAAAAGAACCTTTTTTAAGTTCCACAAATATCTTTTTATTATTAATTTAATAATTTAAAAAAAAAACACTGATCTGAAGAATAATTTTTATTTATTTGACTGTAATTTTATATTATTGTATATAATATAAATATAATATAATACTCTTCATAATACATTTTATAATGCTTTTAAATTAATATAAAATACAGAACATGTAGCATACTGTTTTTTATTTTTATGACTTTTTATTTTGATTGATTATAATATTCAATTATAAAATACTTTTGTATAATACTGTTAAATATTAATATTAATATAAAATGTATTGTAATATGGTTTTTGTTTGTGCTCACAGCTGTCCGTGCTGATAGGATGCGAGGAGGGCGCAATAAATTTGGCCCCATGTACAAACGAGACCGGGCGTTAAAGCAGCAGAAGAAAGCTCTCATCCGGGCCAGCGGCTTAAAGATGGAAGCCACGCCCCCTTTGATGTCATCCCCTCAGCCTGACTACAGCTTCAGCACTGCTCTGTCCACCCCGGCTCCAAAAAACACCCACCCAAACATCGGCACCTCGGTGGCCCCTACAGATTACGAACGCAACCTCTACGCATCCAGTTCCCTGAGTTTATCCATCCCCATCCCGGCCCACACCCCTCTGCCAGCTCAGTACCCGGCGTATCCCACCCTGGCCAGCCACGCCATCAAATCCGAGTACCCCGACCACTACACAAGCTCAGAGCATTACACCTGCGCCAGCTCCCCAGAATCCGTTCCAGGCTACACGTACGTCGACCAGACCCCTCCGGGCTTAACGGTACCGCCACTGGTTCTGGAGTTTGTTCGCTGTGAGCAAGATGAGCTGCAGGTGCAAAGCAAGATAAGCGCTCACCTGGCCCACCTGCAGCAGGAACAGAACTCTCGGAGCGCGGCGGCCAATCAGGAACAGGACACACGTCTCGCTGCCAAACAGGAACGGCTCAGCACCTTCGGCCTGATGTGCCACATCGCCGATCAGACCCTCTTCTCTATAGTGGAGTGGGCGCGGAGCTGCATCTTCTTTAAGGAGCTCAAGGTAAGTGTGAACACGAGCAAAACTGAATTAAAGGGATAGTTCATCAAAACATGAAATTCTGCCATCATTTACTCCCCCTCATGTTGTTCCAAACCTGTATGAGTTTCTTTGTTGTGCTGAGCACAAAAAAATAAATATTTTGAAGAATGTTGAGTTGACGGTAGCCATTGACTTCAATAGTATGGAGAAAAATACTATTGAAGTCAATGGCTGCCGCCAACTGTAACCAAGTTCTTCAAAATATCTTTTGAGTTCAGCAGAAGAAATACATTTATACAGTTTTGGCACAAATTGAGGGTGAGTAAATTATGACGGAATTTTCATTTTTGGGTGAATTATCCCTTAAATAAAACCGCCTTGCATCATATTTGCTGAACATAATTTTGGGTTGCTGATTCAAAAAATATAGTCTGTTTTGCTCAAGCACGTCCCACTTTCTCACAATATTATGCGTTTTGTCACATGTTTGCTTTTAAGAATCATTTGTAAAGTGAAAAAGTCTTGTATTATCCCTAAATCACCAGAAAAACTGCCACAAAGATTCCTATCTTCCTGTAAACCAGGTTACAACTATTTGTTCAGTTCTCAGCCATTTTCCACGTGTGAATGATTTTGAAGACACTATCTATGCCTAATCCTGATTTCAAGCTCAGAGTTATGGCCAGCGACAAGAAAATGCAAACATGACCCAGAGGTTTTCTGCTAAATCTGTGGGTGTTTTGCATCCAAATGGTGACATAAAATTACAGATTTTGTGAGGGGGAAAAAAAGCTTATTTATTTGTATACTTGTGTTCATGTCAAGTTATTTGACATTAAATGGAGCATTTGAGGCAAATAGGGCAAAAAAAAATTTCAGTCATTTGCAGATGTTAAATGTTAAATTTTGAATACTTCCTTTTGTCATTTGAAACCTTCGAAAATTGTTGCTATTTTAATAAGTGCAAAGCTGATATATATATATATATATATATATATATATATATAATCTTAACTTTTTAATTCTTATTTTGTAAAAACTTTACTTGAATGAAGTTTTTATTGATATTTTTGAATCCAGTATCATCAGATTAAGTTAGGCCTTTTACACACACACACACACACACACACACACAATGTTTGCATGAACAGAGCGGATGCGGTTGGCATGATGAAATGATGCTGACATGGATGAACAGGAGTGTGTGTGTGTGTGTGTGTGTTTCCAGACGAACAGACCCAGCCTGCTGTGTTTGCTCTGGCTCACTGTCACGTTTATAATGGCTCTAGCATGCGGACAGTGATATCTGATGTGATTCAATCAACAGGTGTATTTGAGGAAATTATTATAGCCGTCTGGTAATTTTATGCATTATGTTTTGTAGCATAAATGGCACAAATAGCAGGAAACACTGCATTGTAATGATGGTTTGAGCTGGTGTTGAAGGAAAAGCCTGTGAATATTGATAATGATATTATTATAATCATTATAAGGCATGTTTTGTGCACATTTATATAAACTACCATTCAAAAGATTGGGGTTGATAAGATTTATTAATGTTTTTGAAGATAAGAAGTCTCTTTTGCTCACCACTTCTGGTTTTATTTGATCAAAAATACAGTAAAAACAGTAATATTGTAAAAAATAATGTTACAATTTTAAATAACAGTTTTTTTATTTTAATGTATTTTCAAATGTAATTTATTCCTGTGATGCAAAGCTGAATTTTCAGCATCATTACTCCAGTCTTCAGTGTCACATGATCCTTCAGAAATCAGACTAATTTGCTAATTTGCTGCTCAAGAAACATTTCTTATTATTATCAATGTTGAAAACAGTTGTGATGCTTAGTATATATTTTTTTTGTGTGGAAACAGTGATAAATTTCTTTCAGGATTCTTTGATGAATAGAAATTTAAAACAATCAGCATTTATTTGAAATAGAAATATTTTGCAACATTAAAAAATAGAATAGTCTCTACTGTCACTTTTGATTAATTGAATGCATCCTTGCTAAATAAAACTATGAATTTCTTTAAAAAACAAATCTTACTGACCCCAAACTCTATTTTTTGATAATTAATACTGGATACTGAACTGAATTCATTTAATAGCAATTTTGCAATTATCACAAGATTATTAAAACTGTACAATTTTCATGAATCTTGCATTAATACATTCTGACTTGAAGAGGCGTCATCTTTTGCATATTTCAACAGGAAGTCTGGATTTACTGTTAATCCGAAATGCTGAGATATATTTAAGATTCATTTACAAAGGCTCATTAACTTTATCAGAACAATCTTAAATTGAGAGCTCCTGCTATATTGTGCCCATTATAACCTGTGGCATTGAGGGGTCTTTAAGGGGGTTTTGGTGGTCCTGAAGAGCTCTTTAAATAAACTCAAGAGTGTTTGTTGTCTTAGAGGAAATAGAGGATGCACTCCTTTTCTTTTGTCCATTCTGAGCTGCTGTCGCTTTCTGTTGTGTTTCCAAACCCTGCTGACAATGCGGCATAAACACAATCACACGTTACAACATTTCAATCACACGCACAATTTAATACTGGCTGTTATTCACACACACACACACACACATACACACACACACACATACACACACACACACATACACACACACACACATACACACACACACACATACACACACACACACATACACACACACACACATACACACACACACACATGGACAATGATACTCTGTGAAATCGCACACACATAACAGAATAACCTTCTCAACACACACACACACACACACACAAATAGAGATAAAATGGAGGTAGGAAACAGAGGCTTAGAAAACAATAGGAAGGCCAACGTAAAATCTGAAAGATTATTATTAAAATCTGAAGAAGAAAAAAACAGAGAGTGAATGAAAACATGGAATTATTGCATTGAAATAGCAGCAATAAATCACAATACATTTTTAGTTTTAAATAAAAATACAAGACACATGATAGTCGCTTCTGAATTTGATTTAAAACAATTGTTAGTGTCTGCAACAAATAGAACTAAATCTTTTACTTGATGTTCTTCATTTTTAGTGCAAACACTGCAATTTCCAGTCCTTTACTTCTCAGTACCTCTCTCTGTGTGTGTGTGTGTGTGTATGTGTGTGTGTGTGTGTATGTGTGTGTGGGGGTTTAGCAACAGCATTCCTCTCCAGATAAGGGGAGAATGTGAATGCTGCAGTGTTCGTGTGTTCAGTCTGCCTGAAAATTTTTCTTATTCAACAAGTCTCACTCTTTTTAATTCATCAGATTCCTCCGGAAAATAGTTGTTATACTCAGCTGACTATTATTCACTCCTGAAAGATTCCAGTTAGAAGCAAAGTAGTTTTTATATTCTGATGTAATAAGAAAACCTTTTTACATTCCACTGAAATATTTTATTTTATAGTTCTTTAGAAACCCGCTGATCTGAGGAACCTAAAGAACTTTTTTCATCTCCATAGGACCCAATGAAAAGAACATTTTTTGCCAAACCTAAGAACCATCGAAGAATCTTTTATTTTAAGAGTGTTGATATTTTTATTGTCATTGATTTATACCAGTAAAATCAATATTAACCTCTGCTTTTCAATTCTTTCTAGACAGTAAATGCATCTACTGTCAATGTTTAGTCTGAGCATTTAATTCATATTTATTTTGTTAATTTAAAATGCAGTAAATATGCTTCTCTGGTCCATCAGTTTGATTTAGTCTGCCACCTACAGGTCTGGAGATCATGTTTCTGGCTCAGAGAATGAATAACACAGGTTCATCTAGCTAACATGATTGTCCAGAATTATTGTCTTTAACCATTTGCAACATGCTGTTATTAGGCAAAATACACAGATTTAAATGGACATTCCGTGTTTTAGAATATTGGTGTATTTTTGGCCTGTTCTGTGATGCTATTCTGAAGAGGCTTCATAATAATTCCTTATTTAACAAAAAAAAAAAAAAAATAAAAAAGCTGTGCAGGGTTATCATCAAACTAAAATTATAACCATAAAAAAATGAAACAAAGTAAACGTAAACTGAAATAAAATATAAAACAAGCTTATTTTATTTCAGCTTTATTTTCATTTAGTTTTACTAAAATAAATAAAAAAATAAAATAAAAATCCAAAATTAATAGCTGAAAGAATGAATAAACTAAAACTAATACAAATAAATAAAAATAAATAATTAATAAAAAAAATGACAAAAACACACAACAAAATTTTAAAAAAGTCTAAAATTTCTAAAAATACAATAAAATACCCCCCCCCCCAGAAGTACACTCTCAGAAGAAAATTAACAAAAGCTGTCACTGGGCCGATATCCTTTCAAAAAGGTACTATTATGTAACTTTAAGATGCTAATGTGCATCATTTAGAGGTAAATAAGGTACAAAGGTGTATGTTTTGAAAAAGTACCAGCTTTTTACCTTTTGTTCTGAAAGGGTACAGTCATCATGGTATCAGTTAGTAATACCATAGTACTTTGATATATATGCCTATTCCAAAATACCATATTCACAAAAGCTTTAGTGATCCCATGGTATGTTTTGTAAGTGACATGACATACTGACTGACTGTAATAAAGCCACTGAGGCAGGATGCTGCAGTATTAATACCATCATCACTTCCTCTGTCTGTGCTGATGGATTGTTTCCACTTCACACTATTACCTGAACAGGTGTGTTCACACACACATGTCACACCCATACATACGCCGGATGTGAACCCTCTGAAGACAAACATATACAGTGTGTGTCTTGACAGTTTGAAAGATGAAGTACACTCTCAGAAGAAAATTAACAAAAGCTGTCACTGGGCCGATATCCTTTCAAAAAGGTACTATTATGTAACTTTAAGATGCTAATGTGCATCATTTAGAGGTAAATAAGGTACAAAGGTGTATGTTTTGAAAAAGTACCAGCTTTTTACCTTTTGTTCTGAAAGGGTACAGTCATCATGGTATCAGTTAGTAATACCATAGTACTTTGATATATATGCCTATTCCAAAATAC